AGCTATTCCTGGTGGAGCAGTCAACTTCCGTCGTCGATGGAGTGACTTGCAAAGCCGTAATCGTAGAGTAGCTGCAAGCTAGCGACATTTAACGATGTACAGCTCGAACCTGCGCCAATGCATTGCATGCCATAGAGTAGGCAATCCCGGATCCACTACGCTCGTCGGGCGTGGGTGAAGGGAGAGCCGAATGGAAAATGCGTGTACAAAGGCGTAATTCGTGCATTACAAAGAATTTAATTCAAAGTTCCCACTCTCGTGCCTACGGTTCGAAGACGCCGTAGGCATGGGGGGTGCGAAAGGGAACTAGACCATACAGTCACTCAACATGCTGAGCATGTAGGGTAGGAAACAAGTATGCATGTACCGCCAATTACTTTGGCTCAAGATCATGCGTGAGGAAAAAGATCGGTCTCCGAGTGCCATGCCGTGACGTTGCCCAGCATTACCAGCACAACGGGTATTTCAATCAAAAGGGATAATCCAGAACAAGGATTAAATTGTTCACAATATATGATATATTGATGAATCATGAAATAAGCCATTGGATGTATAGATATGTATAATGGAATATCAAAAAGTGATGATTTACTGGAAAAAACCCTTCGGTAAAGCTACGGCTGAGAATTCCACCAACTTTTGATGGAGCCTTCCAGCTGAGAAAATCATCGAACGGGGAGATTTTCCAGCACGCCATGGTATGGATACCGGCCGTGCTCCAACCGTGATTTGTATTTTTCAGTGACGTTTTTTTTTTCATCTCAACTTGGCGGAAAATGCTGGGTTTTTGATGTGTTTTTGATGGGTACCCTCTGGTAAACTAACATAACTATGGGAAATCACCATTTTTAATGGGAAAACTCACTATAAATGGGTCATTTTCAATAGCTATGTTAAATTACCAGAGGGTAAATGATCTGAAAGTGAGGATTTTCAGGTACTTCGAGTCGATGTTCTCCCCATCATTTCCGGAAATTCCACCACTTTTCTGCATCTTCCTTGGGGCTTGCTATCTATACGGAGGTTTCCTGAAAGATGGGTGCCCCAAACCATAGCTTTTCCCATTGATTATCAGCAAATTTGGTGGAATTTCCCCATTTTAGGAAACCTCCATATGTACATATATAACCATATAATCATATCGTATTATATATATAATATAATGTATATACATACATGTATACAATACAGGTGGTACTGTGGGCTACAAACCATGGCGATCATTTTTGCGTAGAAAAAACAAGACACATGCGCAGTTCAGGCTTCAGCACGGTATGGCATACCCAAGAGGGTTGTGATAACTGCTCAGTGAATTTCTTCAAATTCATGGCATGTACTGGCTTTTCTCCATGTTTATAATCCCATCCCCCTAATATTAAACACCCCCGAAATGGTTCCAATTATGTGGAAATTCCCTACATCCACCATGGTTTCTAGGGGGTGTCTACTATTAGGGGGAAGGGATTACAAGACCCCCTCATTTGTTGTCTTGATTTTTACTTGTGTTGTCAGAATTGGACCAAGAAACCCACAGATTGGTCAGTCCGACTAACAACTTTTTTTTGGCACCGCCGGGGTCCGAAGAATCACAGAGCCCCCAGCAAGCTATTTGCGAGATATGATTGATCTGGGTAGATTAAAACGACCTCACTGTTCGACCTCACTGGAATCATGGTTAATAAGGGAATTCATTCCAATAGTTGGCCTTAATTCAGGTTAGTGAAATATTATAATTTGCCCAGATATGATGGTTTTGAAGTCAACCTGTCAAGATTTCAGGAGTTTACAAGCTGAACATGTGGATGGACAAGTATTTGAAGGAGTACGCCAGCGAAGGAGCGAAAAAAACACAACGATGTTGGACCTGGGCGCGGATTTTCTCATGCACATTTCCCATAGGGGGATTTCAAATTACCATGTTTGGTTCCCAAAGGGTATACGTTGTTTTCTGCTGCTGAATTGGATCTACTAGGTCCTACGTCATGATCTTTTTGCATGAAACATTTGGCAGGTCGGTCAAACGAAGAGCAGGGAAACCAACCGATCAGAGCGTATCCCTGGTGTATTGCAATGATCTTCACACTAGTGAAATATCAACTGCGAGATACATTTCTGGTTGGTGGTTTGGAACATTTTTTATTTTCCATGTCATATATGGGATGTCATCCTTCCCATTGACTAGTATTTTTGGGAGGGGTAGGTCAACCACCAACCAGTGATTGTTATCCCAGTTATCCATTATTATCCCATTATTATCCATATTAAACCATATAAATCCATATTAAACCACCAACCAAACTCCTGGCACTTTTGACCGGAAAATGATAGCCACACAGTTGGCCATCCAGGACAGCAGCACAGCAGCACAGCGGAGCCGTGCTAGTTGAACTTGACTATAGTGACTACCCTCTGGTAAACTAACATAGCTATGGAAAATCACCATGTTTAATGGGAAAATCCACTATAAATGGCAATTTTCAATAGCTATGTTAAATTACCAGAGGGTATATATCGTCACCATTGGTCACCACATGATATGATCGTAAAACCCGTGTCCCCAAACGTGATGTGGATGTTGGTTTATAAGCCCATGAAAACTAATTCGATATATCACCAACAAAAACCATGACGTGAGTTATTGGACTTATAAACACACCAACTTAGCGTTTTCACAGCTCACTGGGGCACCTTGTAAACCTTTCAATCTCTGGCTTTGTTCAGTCGGTGATTTTGTTGATTTTCCCAATGGAAAATCCACCATGACTGGGGAATCGATTACCCTCTGGTAAACGTTTACATAACTATGGAAAATCACCATGCTATCAATGGGTAAACTCACTATAAATCACCCATTTTCAATAGCTATGTAAACGTTTACCAGAGGGTAACCCATCTTTTTTTTGGGGATACTGACTTACCAACCAGTATGTAATGGGAGCCTGGGTCTATGCCTACGTGAAGATTTTTTTGGATTCTGGGATGACCAAGTCCAACAATCCCCATCGCAAAATCCGCTGGACCAGGACCCAACTGGAAACTGCTCTACGGAGACGGGCGCACGCGTTGTGCAGGTGACGACTCCTCTTTGGGGTCCCAAGTGATGATGGACTTTCTATGGAAAAACTATGGACAAACTATGGAAATATGGTAATAACTATGGAATTTCTATGGAAATAACTATGGTCATGGAAATTTCTATGGAAAATAACTAGTTGATATGGTAAAAACTATGGAAATGACTAGTTAATGCTTAATCAACAGAAAATGGATAATGGATACATAGTTGATACATGCAATCTGATGGATAATGGAAATAATCTAGTGGTTCAACAATACGAGGTGGTACTGCCAAACGTGATGTGAATGTTGGTTTACAATCCCCATGACTAGATTCGATGTTCGATATATCTATCATAAAGCCAAGTGAAATTGGAGTTATAGCCGCACCAACTCAGCGATTTAGCGCACTGGAGCAGCAGCTTATGGGAATTCTGGGATTTCTTCAACAACAAGAATGCATGATGAATGATCATTTATGGATAGTTGGATCATGGAAGTAGTACCCTCCAGTTTTACTGGATACATAGACCCTGCCATGCGTTGGGCTTGGAAGATTCGTGAAACCACTACAGATAGGTCATTTTCAGGGTTAAACTCTTACCCTCTGGTGAACTAACATAGCAATTGAAAATGGTGATTTATAGTGGAATTTCCCATTAAAAATGGTGATTTTCCATTGCTATGTTAGTTCACCAGAGGGTAATTTACCAGAGGCTAACTGGCATATTTGGAAGGGGACTTCACGGCGGCTTTCGAGCCGCCGTTGCAGACGTTCAGTTCTAATTTAATGGTTCTAATTTAACGGTATTCTTGGACATGAACAACCTGTAACAAGCACCAAAGGAACACTTCATTTGGATGACATTTTGGCAATGACCGCTGAAGAGCGGTTGTTTTAATCATCCCATCGGCCGTATCTGGTTGGTGGTGACTGGAACCATGGATTTTGATGACTTTCCATTCAGTTGGGAATGTCATCATCCCAACTGACGAATTGGGAATTTCATCATCCCAACTGACTTTCAATCCATCATTTTTCAGGTTGGGGTAGGTCAACCAAACCACCAACCAGGTATGATAAGAGCGATAAACTCAGGGGTTTTTTATGGGTTCCAAGTCCTAAGTAGGACCCGCAGATGTTGGTTGAACTCGGCTCAGTTGTTGGTTGGAACTCAGGTTAGCTAAGTTGGGGAAAGAACTGGTAAAAACCCGGCCTGGTAAACCATGTTACATAACGAACTGGAAAGATCCAGTTTCCAGGCTATTTTCGACTGGGCTATTTTCAACTATTTCGACTGGGGCCATTTTTCAGTTCGCAAACTGTAAACGTTTACCAGGGGGCATCATGAAGTATCCATAAGACAGATCAGCAAACCTCGCCAACTTATAGCTGGGGGCCACCACCTTGATGATCAGAGTCGTTTTTTGGGAAGCGGCAAGGTGGTGCCCTCAAGATAGCTAAGTTGATTGGTGAACGTTTGGGTTTATGGGAGATACAGGGATACACCTATAGTTTTCATGGGTTTATAAACCAACTTTCACATCACATTTGGGAAGGGCACCACCTTGTTGACAAGGTTTCGACGCCCGCATAATTTGGAGATATTCGGAGATCACTTGGTTTTAACCATAGATAATGACTGACTTTCCGGATAAACAATGATCTGTTGATATGATGGATATGCTAAACACCATTTCCCATCGTTGTATGTGGTCGAAGTTATGGACCCAAAGATGATTGAGCAGTGTTCAAAAACCTTGTCAACGTTGATGGTTTTTCGGGCCTTTCCTACTTATCCAATCTTATCCAATCTTATCCAATCTTATCCAACAGAAAAACACATCTCAGAAGTCGTGAACTTTCGAAGTCCGTGAGTTCCACACTCTATATACGCCGAGTTGTTCTTAAGGGACGCCCTTTGGCCCAGCGGCCCAGGCGACAGAACTTACAGTCAGAATCAGGTCATGGCATACCGAATGGGAGGCGCAAGGGATGACCACATACCATCTGGGACTAACAGTTTGCCATGGAAAATCCCGTAAATCAATGGAGGTTTCGTTCGCTGGGAAAATCATCTATAAATGAGCGATAAATGTGAAATAACCAGAGGGTATCTCCAAGGTTCACGAAGTTGGGCCTGTTGGTTGATTCAGATCAAAAAAGTTTTTCGGAATGCTGAGGATCAGATACCAAGCTTACCAAGCTTACCAAGGTTACCCTCTAGTAATTTAACATAGCTATTGAAAATGACCATTTATAGTGGATTTTCCCATTAAAAATGGTGATTTTCCATAGTTATGTTAGTTTACCAGAGGGTACCAAGGTTCACATCACTACCAGCCATTTTTTGAAATGGACATTCCACCGACATGGGACACAAGCTCAAATCCAGTGGTTGCCCAGTGAGTGAAATGTGGAAAATCACCGATGTAGTTTGATGATTATTTGTCCCATGGCGAGATTGATGTATGTCTATTTGATACTATACATATATGTATATATGTATATATATGTATATATGTATATATACATATACAATCATATACATATACATATACATATACATATCAAATGTAGTGCATGTATTTCCTTGAGAAATGATTTTCTGATGGTTTCCTATGAATCTTGCTTTGGATTTTCCACTAGGACAAAGATTGTCCAGCAAACTCACCAATGTGACTTTGTCTGAAGACACACCAATTTGCACTCTAAAGTTTGATGGCTGGAGGCTCGGCATTTTTGACGAAGCTTGGTATCTAAGTTGGTGTTGGTTTTCTGAGTTCCATCAATGGGGATATGGATATTCATTGAAGACATCAATAGTGACACTTAGTGAGCGTTGCGAAACTTCCAAAGGGGAAATTCACTGTCCTCATTCAAAAAGCAGGGTTTCCCCCCATGCTTCTTGGTGAACTTCCCAAGTCCCAAGTGAGACTCGATCCCGACTCGATCCCGACTCGATCCCGACTCGATCCCTGTGTCGTCTGAAGGGAACATCTGCAGGACACGCCTACATATTTTGGGGGTTAAAAAACCCATAGGGTTTCTTCGGTTTTCAGATCTTCCCAACAAAGCAGAAAACAGCTCCGTGATTCTTTAGTTGGAGGCCCAGAGGTAGGACCAGTTGGATACGTGTAACTCCCTTGTTGGAAGATCATACTTCTTAGAAACTGCTAAAGTGGGGTCTAAAACCTATGATTCGGACTGCTGGGACTTCATCACTCGGCTAACTTTAACCAGTCAAGATTCACTGGAGAGACACCTCCAATTTCGGTGAGATCTTCCCAAAAACTATATATATATACATCCCGAGCAAGTGACCAAGTTCTGGATTTACAGATGGCCCAAAACAGCAAGAAACTTCGCAGTAGATTCCTCTTTTTGGATGGACTTTCGTCCTGAAAGTAGAAGCGTTCTGCCCCCAAAACGGTGGCAGGATTTATCCAGCAATGCGCTGACTGGTGCTCCTCCATCGATGCCAGTGGCTGGTCGTGGATTTTAGGACATTTACTGGGAAATTGATGGAATATATATATATATATATGATATATGTATATATGTAAATATATATATATATATAATTGTATATATATATATATACACAATATAGCCAATATTATGAAGATAAGGGGCTATTTAACTACTATATGAAGACGGCGGGTTATTTACCAACAATTTATGGGATCCTTTCCTGATGGAAGATACTGGCCAGTGTCTCCAAGTAAGGAATAGATCAATGGCCATGACTCAGGAAGCAATTGATTGGAGGTACCTACCATATATAAGGCCTATATAAGGCCTAAATTTCAGGGAATATCCCCACAGAAGATGGATTCTGAAATATGGTACGTTTACGTAGCTCCATCTGTTGGATCCTGATGATTTCTGTAAGGCATAATTTCCAGGCATCCAACTGAAGATCTGAAGGAGTCGTACCTGCCTGCGTGGTTTTTTAAGTGCTCTGCCTGCAGCTTGGATCCCACATGAAAGCGAACTGGTTATGCATTCAAGCGAAGCGAGTGAAGATTGGAGGAGCTAGATCTATCGACAGTCGTTTTTCTTATTCTGAAAAAAGGAACCCTCGGAGTTCATCGTTTTGCTGCACATGTGTGTGTATATCTGGTTGGTGGTTTGGAACCATGGAATTTTATGACTTTCCATTCAGTTGGAAAAATGTCATCATCCCAACTGACTTTCACTCCATCATTTTTCAGAGGGGTAGGTGGCTCAACCACCAACCAGTATGGATTTATAATGGTTTTATATGGATTAATGTGGATTGATGCCGGTTTTTCCTAATGGTTAATGAATATCAATGGTATATGAATGGAATATTTCCATATTTCCACGGGATATGATATATATATATATATGTATATGTATATGTATATGTATATGTATATGTATATGTATATGTATATGTATATGTATACAACAACATTCGGTGTTGTCATGGCCATGGCCTGGGAAATCCCGGAGCAAGCCACGCAGTTCACTCCACAAGGTGATGTCCCATTAAGTAGCTACCAGCGAACTTGGAGAATCATCCTACTTACCTGGTGAATAACCATAGTTACAACATGTTAGTCACTAAGTTCTAAGTAAGGCTATGGTTAGTTTCACTCAGTGACAACATGTTAATAACCATACTTACCTGTTTTTTTTCTTAAACCATAGTCACTAAGTAGGGCTAGCGGCTAACCATAGTTTCTAGCCCGAGGCACTAATGGCGGCAACTGCACTTATTTCGGCATCTTGGCCCACTACGACTCGGGCCGCTCCAGCCGCTGTGCCACTTGGTGGATCTGGGCTGGAAATCTGTTGGAAATATGGAGGTTTTTGAAGGTAATCATCTATGGTTTATCAGTCCAACAACTGTTGGGTTGATGAATGGGGGTTATATCGAACTAGTTAATGGGGATTATGAACCAACTCACAATACAATAATTTCTTTGGTCAACTATATCTATGAATCATCGAAGTTGGGAAATTGATGCTCATCCCATGATGTTGGAAACCAGTTGGTAAATCCACGATGAATCGAGCAGCGCATCTAGGAATCATCGAAGTGAATGGGGGGAAATCCTTGGGATTTTCCAGCCATGATTACCTCATGGTACATCCTTGGCGGTTCACAGTGGATTCGACGAAACCCCTGTTATAACTGGACGAGCACCGTACTTACTAACTCGTTACAAGTGGGGCGAACTAATCCACTTACTAACTGGGATGAGCCAGAAAGTATGCATATATATATAATATACTCATGTGAATAGATTTGTATATGCATGCATTAACATCTCTTCATGCATGTATATACATATGTATATACATATGAATATGCATATGAATATACACATGAATATGCACATGTATACACATAGTATATACAATTATATACATATATATATAGTATGTGTATCATCATTGTCCAAAAAAGTGGAGGAACTCCTTGGTTTTAACGCCGCTGGGGTCTGCTCGGTCAGGTGATCTATACCCCGAACAGTGGACTTCAGCAGCCTGAGCAGCGTCTCACTGGTGGAGCTGGATGTGGCTTGGTCGAAAATCGACGGGTCAACAAGCATTGGAAGGGTAGAAATCTGGAAATATCAATGGTATTTGTATATATGTACTTAAGATTACACACATACTATGTGTGTGTATATATGTATATATATATGTATATATATATATATATATGTATATATATATGTATATATATATGCTCACTGGTAGGAATTTCAGGAAAGTTTTTTTTTTTTGTAAAACATGTTTTTGAGCGAAGATGTCTGGAATTTTCGAGTTTGGAATGGGATATTTTTCAAGTGACCAATCTTGCAGGTCACTTCTGAACTATACACACTAAATCCAAGCAGTAATCTAGGAACAGATACCAGAAATACATGAATGCAATGGCAGTCCTTCTCAGATACTGTATCATTCCAGTTGCATGTCACTGTAGATACCGGGTGATCAACAATGCCTTGGGGTTACCATGCGAATCATAAGGCTCTCCGACAAAGATGTCCGTTGGTTCGTTCGGGACTTCCAGACTGGCTCAGCCAACAACTTGGATGATTTTTTTGCCAATGTTGGAGATTTGACTAGAAAACATGACGATTTATCAGCATTGCTTGAAGAACTCAAGCGGTTAGAACCAGAAACTGGGAAACGAGATAAACTTTGGACATTTGGAAACAAACAATGAGGGTGTCGAGAAGGAATGAAGACATGTTTATCAGAAGACATCCCCAGTGAAGTTTGAACAATATGAGCACACCTGGTGAAAGAAACATTGAACGAATTATTCAGCATGGTAGCCAACAGAATGTTGTTTTGTGCGTACCAACAAAACACAACAGACATCTTGCCAAAATCATGCATTCACATGCTTGTCAAGTTTTGCCAAGAAAACATTGTGGATGTGACCAAGCAGGACGAGAAGTATACGATGTCACCAGCAAGTGGGTTTGTTGGAAAACAAAAACGTGGATGCCGCCTGAAAATATTGGTGGGACAACACCGAAAGAATCATAAAAAATCACTTGCTTCTGCTGAACATTTTAACTGGTTCGTTCTGGCACCCAGACAATCTCGAAAAATCAAAGTCAGCCCTCCGGTTGGTCACTATTATGGTACCCTTTGTGTGGTAGGTTATTGGGTTGTATGAATTTTGGCAGGAAATGGAGCGGTAGGTACACGGTGAAAAGGTGAAAACATGAAAACTATGCAACTTTGCGGAATGTATAGACACGTTTACGAAGCTCTAGATATTCATATTGCATAATATATATATATATACACACCTGGATCCTTAAACGATCACGTTGGAACAGGTCTGGTGTTGCACGACCATCTTTTGATGAAACGATTACTTTCCCTTCGACACCCTGCTGGGCTAAGGTGATAACTTGAGACCCTGTTCGAACACTGTTCGAACATGTTTTTGTCGAACCACGCCAGTCCCAAACGTCAAATTAAAAATGGTTGTTTGCTTGGGAAAAAAAGGATGTTGCCGCAACAATGTTGCCGGTATAAAAGTGCATGTTGCTGGTATAAGAGTGGACTTTTCAACAACCCCAAGTTTTGGAACAACGGAGCGCACTACCTTTTAGAACATACGCTATTTCAACAGGATTTGCGCTTACTGTTCATATCAGAACAATTCAAACGGCCACGAATTTTCGCCCCGAACCCACATCTGACTTAAACTCGGCATTGGGATCGTTGGATCACTTGAAAGTGGATATTTCAGGTTCCATCTGTGATGCCACCCCACTCCAGCCTTCAGGTGTGCCAGAGGCAGGGACCCTGCACCGGAGGTCGAGTTTGTTGCATCTGATCGAACGCACCGGACGGCTACGTGCCAATTTATGGAGTGTAACTAGTGAGCCCCAGGGGGTTTATGAAGTATAAGCAACTTCCGAATTCCGGACATCACTACAATAAATTCGGAAGTTGGTTTAGTTCCCAATTGATGAAGTGTAACTTTCAATAGGCCATTGGAGTCTGACATCAGATCGCCTTCGGAAAAACCATTGAAGCCTATTTTACCCAAGCCTCACTTTTACGCTGCTGTGGGCTGTTGCTGAATCACCCAAAGGTCCTCGAGTAGCACCATGAAAAAACACGAAAAAACCAACACATACTGTGGGGCCAAACGTTAGATTTGTTAGTTTATAAATCTCATGAATACTATACTATAATTATATTCTCCATAAAGCAGACAGTTCAAGTTAATGATACTGTAAGTCAACTTAGCTGTCGTTTGGGGGCCCCACATGCTGTATACTGTGGGTATATATATATATATCCGCACGAATCCCTCATTTTTGAGAAACCCTTCAAGTATCTCCGCAGGAAATAGATTAGCGTAGATTCATCCACCATAAATCCTAGTTATGTTCACCAACCAACACCTATCGTTTAGGGGCTCCTTCTTGTACCCACTCAGATTGTTGCTTTTATCCCATTATATCCCCATGATGGTCATTATCATGGATACCCATTATACCCGCAATGTTCCCATGATACAGGACCAATATCTACCATCTTGAAGCCTATTTAAACTCCCCATGAAAGTTCCCATCTATGCACTCTTTCTTCCAGCATCTCGCGATCTATGCCGGTGGGTTTTCTGACCTTCAGTGCTTGATTCCTGCGATCCCCCAAGTATTTCTTGGTCAATTTCCCATGTTTGAAGGTTTTTTCCCCAAAAAAGCACATGTTTTTTGATCCCATTTTGGGGAAAAACACGTATTGATCCCCCTTTTTTCTCAAACAGTGTACTGTTAGGGGTTCGATACCTTGCTTTCTTATGTCATATGTGTGACCCCGTTCCTCAAAAACACGTCTTGTTTCCACCCACTGTTTGGGGTCTACGGTGGTGTAATTTATTTAACTCGAATGATTTTCCCCAGCTCCATCAACCCCCATGAAAATTCCCATGCATGAATGGATTCCCATTAACTCTCATATCATATATATATATATATCCCCTACTTGTACAAACCAATAACCATATAACCAGTTGTAAATCGGATATACCCTATTCTACAACAATGCTTCGTGAAATCACAATGAAATCCCCTCTAAAGTCACCATGAAATCACCATGTTCAGGCGCCAGGAAGACATGAAATCCCCATCAAATCACCCTTAAATAACCCCTTAATCACCCTTAAATCCCCTTAAACCATCCATTAAATCACCTTTAAATCACCATTAAATCCCATTAATTCACCCTTAAATCCCCATTAAATCACCATTGAATCTTATTAATTCACCCTTAAATCACCCTTAAATCCCCATTAAATCACCATTGAATCTTATTAATTCACCCTTAAATCACCATGAAATCACCATGAAATCACCATTGAATCCCATTAATTCACCCTTAAATCCCCTTAAGTCATTCCTTAAATTCCCCTTAAATCCCCTTAAATAACCCTTAATCACCCTTAAATCCCCTTAAATCCCCTTAAACAACGCTTACTCACCCTTAAATCCCCTTAAATCCCCTTAAATCATCCATTAAATCACCCTTAAATCACCATTAAATCCGATTAATTCACCCTTAAATCACCCTTAATTCATCCATTAAATCACCATTAAATCACCATTAAATCCCATTAAATCCCCCTTCAATCCCCTTCAATCCCCTTCATGACCCTCTTCACCCTTAAATCCCCTTTCATAACCCTTAATCCCCTGTAAATCCCCGCTTAAATAACATCCCCTTAAATAACAATTAATCCCCATTCAATCCCATTAAATCACCCTTAAATCCCCTTCAATCACCTTCATAACCCTCTTCACCCTTAAATAACCCTTAATCCCCCTTAAATCCCCTTAAATAACACTTAATCACCCTTAAATCCCCTTAAATTATCCATTAGATCCCCGTTAAATCACCATTAAATCACCACTAAATCCCCTTAAATAACCATTAATCACCCTTAAATCCCCTTAAATAACCCTCAATTCCCTTAGAATCCCCTTAAATTATCCATTAAATCCCCGTTAAATCACCATTAAATCACCACTAAATCCCCTTAAATAACCATTAATCACCCTTAAATCCCCTTAAATAACCCTCAATTCCCTTAGAATCCCCTTAAATTATCCATTAAATCCCCGTTAAATCACCATTAAATCACCACTAAATCCCCTTAAATAACCATTAATCACCCTTAAATCCCCTTAAATAACCCTCAATTCCCTTAGAATCCCCTTAAATTATCCATTAAATCCCCGTTAAATCACCATTAAATCACCACTAAATCCCCTTAAATAACCATTAATCACCCTTAAATCCCCTTAAATAACCCTCAATTCCCTTAGAATCCCATGAAATTCTCAATTTTCGCCAGGAAGACACCTGGGTCGGTCACTACTGGACCGTCTTCGAGCTCACCAGGGAGACGCCATTGGCACCTCCTCCCAGTGGCATTCACCCGGGAGGTCGCGGTGTCCTGGTGCGAGCTGCTCGGTGGAAACCGTTGACCCGGCTGTGGCGGAGGATGTCCTATGACTCTGGATGGACCTGGCATCCACAAACCATTGGAGGAAAACCATAGGAAAACCATAGGAAAATGGTGGTTTTATGGGGTTTAACCAACAAAATGGGGATTATGATGGGAATATTAACTATATTCCCTCTAACGACAATTTGTTGAGCTATGTTAGTCAACATTAACAATGGGATAGCCTCTGGTAATTTGTTACAGTTTGCGAACTTGAACATGACCATTTAGTTCGTGGATTTACCATGATTTACCCATTGAAAATGGTGATTTTCCATAGTTGGGAATGTTTAATCATCACTGGTTGGTGGTTTGGAACATGACTTTTATGAATTTCCATTCAGTTGGGAATGTCATCATCCCAACTGATGAACTCCATCATTTTTCAGAGGGGTAGGTATACCACCGACCAGGAATGTTTAATCATCAAGTATACACCATATATGGGAATATTATGTGACTAGTATGGAGATAAATACAACACGTCTATATATGAACACCATACTTGGAATGGTCCAAGAACAGTTGACCATTTATGAAAAGCTTGAGCCTGGTAGATTGGATAGAGCTGCACAGTGTGAAATGGAGACTTGCGCAGTACAATAGAGGAGACTTGCGCAGACCAGGAGTCGTATCAGAGATGCGAATGAGAGGTAGGAACTTCTGAGGAAGCTGCTGTGAAAGCAAAGTTCCAGGAGTTGCAAGCTGATTATGAGAAGGCTGTGAAAGATGGAAACGATGGGCTGCTACAGTCAGTGACGAAAGCCGTACGAGATGCGGCGAAGGAGTCAAAGCTGCCTGAGAGTTTATCCCATTATGTAGATTATGCAAAATGGGACGTAATTGACATCATGAGAGATAAATGGGATAGAACTTGATAGAACTGTTTAGATTATTGCTTTGGATTTAAGCAACATAAATTGGAGATATAAACCATATGAAAGATGGGGATTTCATTGTGATCTGATGACTTATTTCATGGTTTATGAACGGATATTCATCAGGGTTGCTCCAAGCCGTGATGAATGATAGCCACTGTTGGGGGATAAATTAGTCATTTGATCTCTGCAATTTGCCAATTTACTGTACCCCTGGGGTGGTGGGAGCAACCCTGTAAATTTGACCATTTGTTGATTAATTTACATAAATGCCCCATGAAAAGATTTGATTATTTATCCCATAATGTAGATTATGATGACTATGCGCTATAGATGGGATGTAATTGACATCATGAGATATAGATGGGATATAACTGTTTAGATTACCCTCTGGTTATTTAACATAGCCATGGAAAATCCCTTACAAATGGAGGTTTTAATGGGAAAATCATCTATAAATGGGCCATTTTCCATGGCTATGTTAAATAACCAGAGGGTAACTGTTTATATAGATTACTTTGGATTTAAGCAACAAACCGGGTATGACACCAAAGCCACTGCGGATCCATGATATCGCGTTAAATGCGCCCATAGGCTGAGGTAGGTAAAAGCTCCTGATTTGACCAACTGAGACGATAAATCAAACTTCCCCAATTGAAACACCCAGACTGGTAGCATCTCAATTGATGGTTGATTAAATCCCCTCAATTTTGTAGATATACTGTATATACATACATATATGTATATTTGGATATAATAAATAAGTAGATAAATACATACATCAATAAATAAATACATACATAGATAAATACATAAATAAATACATACATCAATAAATACATACATGTGTGTATATATATATGGAGATACGTAAACAACGTAAGCTCATTGAATAATAGTCAGACTCTAAGAGATTCCCATTGGATTTTGACATCGACCCCCTAGATTTGATGGGAAAAAGAGACCGTTTTGAGATCCATGTTAATTTTATATGGATTTATATAGATTTATCTGGATTTATATCATTTATTTCCCAATTTATATATATATATATGTATTTTTAAAGATCCCGAAATCACTTAGATATCCGGGATATTCCATGCTCCTTCGGACACCGGATGGATTGAAGAATTGCATAGTATTGCATAGTCTAAGCACCTTGGGGATTAAAAAAACCCTCTGGTAAATTTGTTACAGTTTGCTGTTGAAAATTAAAAATCGTGGATTTTCCCATCAATAGCATGGTGATTTACCCATTAAAAATCGTGGATTTTCCCATTAAACATGGTGATTTTCCCATTAAAAATCGTGGATTTTCCCATTAATAGCATGGTGGATCTTTCCAGTTCGTTTTTTGTTAACGTTTACCAGGCCGGGTATATAACAAACACTTGCTAGACGGTTTTTTAGCACCTTGGGGAGACCAAAAAAATATGGTTATAATCATTTTACAATAGCATTTATAAATATACCCTCTGGTAATTTAACATAGCTATGGAAAATCACCATTTTTAATAGGTAAATCAACTATAAATCACCATTTTTCAATAGCTATGTTAAATGGTTGATATAGGTGATATAATGGTCAATGATGGTTAATGAATGTTAATGATAGTCAATGATAGTTAATGATAGTTAATGATAGTACCCGGCCTGGTAATTTCTTACAGTTTGCGAACTGGAAAATGGCCCAGTAAAAAAAAGTTCGTTGATTTGCCCAAAATAGCCTGGTGATTTTCCATAGTTTTTTTGTTAACGTTTGTACACATGTATATAGCGACTTGGTGACAGGTACCTTCACCTAGAAATTTACGATAGCTATGGAAAATGATGATTGACCTCTTAAGACTGGTGACTTTTCATCTGGCAAGCCATGTGGGGGTAGTCGTCACTGAATACATAGGGGTTTTGGTAATACACCCATTGCCCCCTGATCATTCAACGTACCCTCTGGTAATGACTGTTACATAGCTATTGAACATTGCCATAGAAATAGTGGATTTACCCATTGATAGCATGGTGGATCTTTCCATAGTTTTTTTGTTAACGTTTACCAGGCCGGGTAGCTATATGGAAAAACAACATTAAAATGTTAGATAAATATCGGTAAATCATCGAAGTAAATGGACACTTTTTTCCATAGCCATGATAATTCATATACACATCATGCCAACTCACCATCATCAACCATCAAACATCATCAACGATCATGAAATAACCATTAAATCAACATGATATCTTGTATTTTTGTTACCTAAGTTCTATTGGTTATCATATCCCATTCTATTGGTTTCTTATCTAAGTTCTGTGGTTGTTCTAAGGTTCAATTTCAGTGATAAACATCTCCGTTCGACCCTCTGGTTATTTGTTACATAGCCATGGAAGCCATGGCCCTAATCGAAATTTCGATGATTTTCGCTAGAAACCTCCATAAATATGGGATTTTCCCAGCTAGAAACCTCCATTTATGGTTGGGATTTTCCATGGCAAACTGTTAGTCATAACCTGGATTTTCCCATGGATTTCTTGCTTCAAGCTGAGCCAAGGTTTGGAACCTCTGTCCCAAGGGCAACGCTTACAACGACGAGTGCAACTACGCCAGGTGGCCGGGGATGGCACCATGGAAGAAAGACATGGTGGGGTTTTCCCATGGAAAACAGCACGTTTAAACATGGGGTACCCTCTGGTAAACGTTTACATAACTATGGAAAGATCCACCATTTTCAATGGGTAAATCCACTATAAATGGCAATGTTCAATAGCTATGTTAAATTAACAGAGGGTATTTTTTTTCCGAAACGATTTTAGGATTTGATAGACTTATGAATCTATGAACATATTCTGGTTGGTGGTTTGGAACATGGCTGGATTATGACTTTCCATGTATTGGGAAGTTCATCATCCCAACTGACTAATATTTTTCAGAGGGGTTGAAACCACCAACCAGATATATATATAATATACATACACACACACTATATATATATATAATATATATATATTATATAATATATATAATATACAATAATATATATATGTATACACGTATATATATATATATATTTACATATATACATACGGGATTACTAAATCCACCGAAACGGGTTCGGGGTTACACCGAGGGCCCGAGGGACAGCATGGTTCCAGGTGGAGAGCGATGCAAAAAACCAATGGGATTTTGAGCGTTTTAGGTTACCCATTGGTTATTTAACATAGCCATGGGATAGATCCCATAGAAATAGATGGTTTACCGAACTGAAACATGGTGATTTTCCATGGCTATGTTAAATAACCAGATGGTATATGCCTTGCTGCTGCCAATATTATTTCCGCAATGAGAGATGTGATAGTCGATGGTTGCGAAATCCTGCACCACCAATTTTGGATGGTTGAAACATAAGTTGAAACCCTATAAATAATGGGATGTTTACCACCGTTTTCAACTGGTGCAGGATTTCTTCCATCCATAGTATTTCACATGGTTACCCTCTGGTAATTTAACGTAGCTATTGAAAATGACCATTAATAGTGGATTTTCCCATTAAAAATGGTGATTTTCAATAGCTATGTTAGTTTACCAGAGGGTATTCCCCAGCTACCATGACTCTGCGATGCTGCTAGGCGCAATATGAAAGCGGCTCTGCACGCGTCCCTAAATCCCGAGTACAGGGCGCAGATGCTTGGCGAAGAAACATGACCGTGGTTGGGATTGAATGAGGATAAAACCAATAGGAACATGGTGATTTCATGGGATTTATTTGATCTTTATGTGATTTCATGAAATTTCATAGGGATTTAATGGGATTCTAATGGCTGGTTGAACCAGGAAATGATGAATTAATGGGATGGGATTCAATGGTGGTTGAGCAATCCACTCATCTACTACTTACTGATGCTACCCTCTGGTAAACTAACATAACTATGGAAAATCACCATTTTCAATGGGTAAACCCATGTTCAATAGCTATGTAACAAATTACCAGAGGGTACTGATGCTAAACGCAGGGAATTTTTGGGGATCCACTTCCTCATGGAGAATTTTCCATGGAGGGTGATAGGAATCCTGGGTTTCCGTCCAAGGAAACCCATGCTGGAAGTCGTTCGCAACGATGTGTTGCGTGGGGCATTTGGTCGGGATCTCAGTTGGAATGGTGGGAGACTTCGATGATTTACCGCTTTTTCATGGCGATTTTGCAATAGCTAAGTTAAATTCTCGGGATAAACATTTAATGTCATATAAGGGTTTGGCCTTGGCACGTTGTTTAGTTCAAGTGGTTTTTCATTGAGTTGACATGTTTGAAAAAAGCAGTGTGAGAGGGAGAAATGACCTGATTTTGGTATTTAACCAGCCCAATTTAAGAAAAGAGGTTCAAGAATGGGAATGGCTCAAAAATATGTGCCCTCAAACAAGAATGAACTTGTCAGGTTTTTTGTGGGTCCACTGGCAAGTTATTGCTATGACCAAAAGGGTGGGTGAAGCAATAAGATTTCGTTTGGAACATGCTCATCCCAGAATTGGTTTGAAGGAAAATCCAGAAGAATCCTGATTTTTTGTTGATGGTACAAACTGCAGGTTTGCTGCAATTTGGGTTACAACCCTAGATGATCAAACCATGTCCTTTCCCCACTGGTTGGTTGGAAAAGAGGCACATTTCCATCCCATCTCACTAGAAGTAGCTCGTTGGTGTATGGTAGATACATCCAACTAGTATTTATGTATGGTTTAGATATGAACCCCAGTTGGTTTGTTGGGGTTTGTAGTTCCAGTTGATGGTAGATCACTGTAGATCCAATTGATTTTACCTCTAGTTCGATGGTTTCTAGACCAATTTTAACTATAGTTAGATGGTTTATAAATTTATAAACCAATTTCAACTATAGTTCGATGGTTTATAGACCAACAAACATCACTCCAGGGTGGCTACGACCAATTCCCTCCGCCCTCTGAGGCTTTGAACACACGAGGTACTCAAATCCTGTCGACCTGGTGGCCTACCAACATGAGGCCCTTGTGATGCTGTGGAACTCCAACCTGAGATGGGAACAGATCATGGGGATATGGGTATGGGTCAATACCTATAGATACATTTTTAGTGGGATGAACATCCATTTACCAGCTATTTTGATGTTCACCAGGGGTACAAGGTTTTGACCCATCCCCATATAGAACCAACATCATGAGATGAACTTTTTCGTGGGAGAAGCCACTTTTTTGGAAAGCCAAAGAATCATAGAACCTGTCGGAGAACCCCAGAATTCGTAGGTTTTGGATGGTTTCGTGGTTGCATGATTCCCTATGATTCATATGAGAAAACAACTGGCAAATTGCCAAACACAATGGTTGGTGGATGGGAGTTACCACAATGGTATGATGAAGCATGATAAACCCCAATGTATATTGGGTATATTGGGTCATTGGGTGGTATGATAGTATAATCAATCATTGTCCACCAATGAATCTATATAATCTATAGTATAATATAAGCCAATAGTATAAATCCATAGTATATATAATCGAGTATAAAAGTGTATAAACCAATAGTATACCAGTTGGTCATGTATAATCTATCATTTTATCAACCAACTGAGGTCTTCGTTAAAGTATGCAACTAAGGGCAGCCCCAAGAATTGATGCCAAATCCCATGCTGGACCAATGTAGAATTTACTACTCGGTTTGCCATATTCATCATATTTGAACGAATTTAATCAGTTAACACATGCATTAATCAACATATGTATCACATTATATATATACTGGTTGGTGGTTTCAAACATTTTTTATTTTCCATAATATATGGGATAATCCTTCCCATTGACTAATATTTTTTCAGAGGGGTAGGTCAACCACCAACCAGTATATATATATACACACCTGTAATATGTACATATACACACAGATACGTAGCTCGGGACTCATTGTACTGACTTCATCACGACCTCACTGTGATGGTTAGTGATGGGAATATCCTAACATTATTCCAGGTTGGCAAATCATCATGATCTACCTATCATGATCGTCAACATACTATATCTGGTTGGTGGTTTGGAACATGGCTTTTATTTTTCCATATATATTGGGAAGAATCATCCCAACTGACTTTCATATTTTTCAGAGGGGTAGGTATACCACCAACCAGATATAATCGGAAAAATTCTATCAGAACTGCTTCGTATAAACCATGCGCCGCCTTTATATTGGCCCGGTCACTGCCAGACTTGTAGGCCAACGGCCAATTTCTCCACTTCTTTTGCTTCATATCTCAATGTCGGCTGCTTAATCTTGGTTATATTCTCATTTTTGCTGGTGTTAGTTCCCATTTCTGTTTGTGTATATATACATATATGTATATAATGTAATGTAATGTAATGTAATGTAAGGTAATGTAATGTAATGTAATGCAATGCAATGCAATGTAATGTAATATATGTATACGTATGTATACATATATGTATCCCAGTCTTGTTTTCGTTGGATCCCGGCTGTTAGATCCCCACGATTGTCCGCACGATTGTCGCTCCTTTTAGTTTCAATTTTTGCTGGTCAACCTGCGGATGGTCTATTTTTTTTTATCAGGGTCGATTTTTCTGTATCACCGTTGTCATTTAAAAATTGGTTTTTATTTTCATTGGTATATTCATATATAGATCAAAAACAGCCTCCAAAGTTCTTGGAGCAGAGATTCATTGCAATCGAGCCGCATTTTTTAAGGTCGATCACCTACCGATCCATTGAAAAATTGCCAGGGGGCCTACAAGAACATGCACGAGGCCACTGGCAATCACGGCACCTTGGCCTTGGAAGGCCTTGGAAAACTTGGGAAACTCCCATAAAAATTGCAGGGAAGTTTTTTGTTAATCTGGGAAAACATATGGTGGGTTTTTCAGGAGTATTTTTTGAGATTTGTTTGGAAAGGTGGGGATTTCATCAAGATGGGGATAGAATTGCCGTTGTTTACACAAGGTGATGCCCCCCAGTTCGGAGTTGGTTTATAAGCCACATTAACATACATTAACATACATTAACTGTAGATCTACCATAAACCATAGGCAACCCAGTTGTAAATCTATTCCATTTTGTGGTGATCATGATAAAAATTCCCCGGGAATTCTCCGGAGAATTTTGAGAATTCCATTTTTTTTTTCAGTTTTTAAACGACCATAGCTATTGAAAATGGTGATTTTCCATACTTATGTGAGTTTACCAGATTCTAGTAGCATTTTGCTGGCATTTTTGTCTCATTTGTATCTCAATTTTGGTTGATTTGACTAGCGATTCTGTAGACTATCCCCATCTTCATGATGATTCGTCAATACCTCACCACTTAGTGGGGGCACTTCATCAGTAAGCCCTTGGCAGAAATACCGGGAGAAACAGATCTCATCCAGAAAACTCAACAAGGAACTTAACTTTGTAGGATATTCTTATCTGCGTTGTTGTTGTTGTTGTTGTTTGAATGATCTGAGATTGGATTTCGACTGATTGAAGCACCTAGAATGGGAATTTCACCAAGAACATATTAGCACATATATATATACATATATATCACGTATTTTACCAACAAAGGTCAAGGGATTACAGAAACAAATCTGGGGAGTTGTCGTAGCTGCCATACTAAGATACTTGTAGGAGATACCCAGATTACACTCCGAAGTTATTGGCCAAGTATGTTATCTTATGATTTCTGAGTTAGCACCCAATTATCTCCCATTTTTCTTGGTCAACTTTCCATTTGTCCATGATATTTTTTCCTCTTTTCGCAGTTGTTTAGATGGTATCACCTTGTGACTTTGGTTTAATCCCCATCTGGTGAAATCATGTTGATTTTTTGTGAACCGTTGCCTAAAAAAAGTGGCTGAACAAACTATGGTTTATGGTAGATACAACGAACTAGTTAATGGATGTTAATGGGGGTTATAATGGTTTATAAACCAACGTTCACATCACTGGGGGGGCCCATGTTAGATCCCCATTTCATCCAGCATTTGCCCATCCTTTTCCCATTGGCGAATCCTGCAGGCATTGTGGAAGAGATGTTGGCCTTCTTCGTTGCACCCGTCACGGGTTACTATTCCTTTCTGACCTGGGGAGACCAAGAGCAGGACTGAGCAAAAAATGGACAATGAGACCATGAGCTATGGGAAAAGCTCATGTGACCTAGATTTTCTATGGCATACCCTCTTGTAAACGTTTACATAACTATGGAAAATCACAATTTTTAATGGGAAAATCCACTATAAATGGCCATTTTCAATAGCTATGGTAATTTACCAGAGGGTACTAGGTTTTTTCTTTTTGTTGAGTGACATTTCGATGGGATTTTTGTTGAGAATCAGATCAGACACCCATCATTTTTTAACTGGGAGACATGACCCGCAAAACATGGGGTAGAAGATGGTATTATAACGTACAACTACATACAATATCCATAATATCCAATATATATATACATAATATACTATATATATAAGTACCCTCGAGTAATTTGACA